CAGAGCCATCCATTCAGCCACGGTCATGAAGCGTTCGCGTAACTGTGGTTAGTCTTCCACCGGCAGGACACTGACCGTAGCGTAGTGTCCAGCGTTATGGCCACCTGTTGTTCGCTCGCTCGCCGGGAAAGAAGGAAGGAAGGACACACACACAAACTCTTTCTCTTTCCATTTTCTTTTCTCTTCTCCTTTCCCTCCCCCCCTCTCTCTTTCTCTTTCCATTTTCTTTTCTCTTCCCCTTTCCCTCCCCCCTCTCTCTCTTTCTCTGTCTCTCTCTCTCTCTCTCTCTCTCTCTCTCTCTCTCTCTCTCTCTCTCTCTCTCTCTCTCTCTCTCTCTCTCTCTCTCTCTCTCTCTCTCTCTCTCTCTCTCTCTCTTTCTCAAAGGAACGGCTTCTAGACGCTCAACCGGTATAACACCTTTTCTTTCACGCTGTCTCAAGGTTAGGCACACTAGCGAGAAGGACATGATGGATTATAATGTGGACTTTATTTGTTTTATGCTTTTTGTTTTACTTGTGTGCATAAGGTTTTCTGGTAACAATGAATTCGCGAAGTAGGTTGAGGGGTAAAGAGAGGAAGAAAGGAAGAGAGGAGATATAATGGATAGAGAAGGAAGAAGTAGTAATGAAGAAAGGAAGGAGATAGGGAGAGGGAGAAGATGGGAAGGAAGCAAGGAAGGAGAGATACAGATCAAAGTTTGGAAGGATGGATTGGGAAAGAGAGAAAGAACAGGACATAAAGTGCAAATCATTCTGCAGGAAATATTGAAAGGCGCAAAAATAAACACAATTTTCTTCCAAATAATGGACGAAACGAGAATGTGAAGAAGAGAAAAGCGAATTGCAAGAAGCCTCGTTTTTCCTCTCTCACACTTCGAAAAGACAGCCTCTACTTCCCTTCCCACATTCTCTCACAGCACGATATTCCTCCTATTCCTATAGCCCTTTTGCCTTCTCCCTCTTATTAACATCTTGCCTTCCCTTCTCCTTCTCTCTCTCACCACCACCACCACCACCACCACCCCTCCTCCTCCCCTCCCCTCCCCCTCCCCCCTCCCCCTCCTCCTCCTCCTCTCCTCCTCCTCCTCCTCCTCCTCCTCTCCTCCTCCTCCTCCTCCTCCTCCTTCCTCCCCCTCTTAGCGGGCCCCCACCCCCAACCTCTCTGCCCTTCAAGGCTTCCCAGAGGCGGAGGTTGTGTGGATATCCTGTCCACACTACCTAGTGCACGTGTCCGCACTCGCCCTAGCTGGGAGTCTGTCACGTGTCAGCTGATCGGTGGGGTGGGGGTAGGGGGTATGCAGGCTTGGATTGGCTTCATTTCGTTTATGGAGGAAGTGGCGGGGGAGGCTAAGGGGTTGGGAAGGCTAAGGGTCGGGGAAGGCTAAGGGGGTTGGCTAAGGAAGGCTAAGGGGTTGGGGATCTGGTTGTGGTTGGTGCAGGTGAGAGGGTGTGATTTGATATTTTCTCTTCTGGTAATTGGTTACGATAGTGCCTGGACTGAGGGGATGGTGGGATAGCTGTTGCGGTTGTGAGGTAGATGGCGTGATAGATAGGTTTGGCGGGGAAAATGGGGGGCAGACAGTGTTGGGTGGGGGAGGGCCAAATCCTCTAATTATATAAGGCTAGGAAAAGACATGGTTGCTGCCGACTGTGGTTGATTCTGGTTAGGGAAAATAATTACTTGCGTGATTCTGCTCATATTACGGAGAAAAACTGATAATGGAAATTTGTCGTGGTTGTTGTTATTTGACTATTGGAGAGAGAGAGAGAGAGAGAGAGAGAGAGAGAGAGAGAGAGAGAGAGGGGGGGGGGCGAAAAAAACTAGTTTTAAGAAATTCTCTTTGAAATCATGTGCAGAGGACTGTCTTCTGATGGTGGTAATGTATCATTTCACAGGTGTATAACTGTTCAGAATTATTATTAACCACGTTAAAAAGGATTGGGAAGGAGGAGAAAGAAAGAAGTTAGAGGAGGAGGATAAGGAGATGGTATTGTTAGGCTACAAGGAAAAGGGAAAGTAAGAGTAACTACGGTGGGAGGTTGAGAGAGAGGAAAAATTGTGATGAAAGAAGGTAAACGAGACGGTGAATAAAACCAAGACAATATAAATTAGAAGGGTGATGATGGAGCTGTATGTAGTTTTGATGTGTTGCTAATTACACACTGCTGTTATTAGCAGACATATGTTTACATTGTAAATGTTACGAACGAAAGTACATGGGAATAGAAAGATAAGGAAAACAATCGAAAAGAGAGACTGAAAAAAAGTGACCAAGAGAGACTGAAAAAGTGTCCAAGGAGATTACCACATACGTAAAGAAAAAATAGGAAAGTGGGTATAACAAAAGGAAGAAAACAATACAAAAGATGAAAGGTCCTTGCTCTCGTCAAATGTAGGTGATTGTTCGGAATGTGTGTCGAGTGTCATATGCAAAATAGGCATGTTGAGCAAGGAACTGCTTCACACTTTCATAATTAATTCGCATACGTAACGAAGTTTGAACAGCACATGCCTTCAGAAAATTGGGCCTAAATGCAGCCTGCGAGACAGCAAAATGTTGCTGGAGTTTCATCTCACTAATAATAAGGCTTCACATTAATAGTTCTACTCGATGACACCGCAGAACATCACGTATGCAGTATTATAGAGACTTCCTTAGGGATAAGATTTTGATTTCGATACTGCGGAATTCCGCCATTCGGTACTTATTTTTTTTATTTTTTTTATTAATGGCATCGTATTGTAGTTTATCTTGCCATTATTATTATTATTATTATTATTATTATTATTATTATTATTTGGACGAACAAATTGACAGTTGGTTATTAATCACAGATCCGATGGTGGGGATTAAATTCTTGTTTCTTGTGGTTTGGCGGACGTCGCGTCGTCACCACATTTTGGCTTAGCAAGACAAGAATCGCCACGCCATTTCGCCTGGTAAAGGGCTTTTTGTTCGATGTATACTTGTTTGTTTGTTGATTTAGTATATTTGTTTGTTTGCTTATACGTTTATTTGTTTATTTGTTTATACGTTTATTTGTTTATTAATTCGTGAGGATGGTTGAAGCTGGCCGAGGTAATGATTCATGAAAAGGCCTTCGTTAGGAATCTATATTTTTTCTGAACACGATTTTGTCCTCGGAGTATTCAAGATGGCATTATTTTGTGTTTTGTTTGTTTAAAACGTTGATTAGGTAGTGACCCATCTTGTAAGTAATCGAACTACCGACGCATGAATTATTCTTATGGCAAAACGTTCTCGGGGATTTTGTTAATCCTGAGTGAAGACGGAAGGAAAGATTCAGGCATCGAAAGAAAGAACATTCATCGAGGAAAGAATATTTCGGACATTTCTGCAGGGTTTATAGTGCGGCGACATGACACAGATCCGGCGGGGAAATTTGGTAGAAGAAAGGTGTTCTTGTTTTATTTATTGTCTGTTTTTTTTTAGGTCGTGGTTTGGAAAGAGAAGAAATTGGGTATAAGAGGATTTGATTCCAATGCAGCCCTATCTTAACTAACATATGGTTTAAGGGTTCTTTGGAGAGGGTCGTAAATCTACAATGAATTTATAGATCATAGTAGAAAAAGTAGGTGGTACCCATGTTGTAGCAGAAAAGCATGCGTGACGTTGGCCTGAACAAGACAAACACGAGGGGATTATTAGTCGCGTGAAATTCGCTGATTCATTGCCACTTAAATCCCCGTCTCCCATCCCCTCCCTGATTCCCCTTCCTACCTCCCCTTCCGCTCCTAAAGCCTCCCCCTTCCGCTCCTAACCTCCCCTTCCCCTTCTAGCCTCCCCTCTCCTAACCTCCCCTTCCCCTTCTTAGCCTCCCCTTCCCTCCTAACCTCCCCCTTCCATCCACCCTACCGCTCCCCCTTTCACTCACCTAACCAGTACCCCAGCCCCACTCACTTCCCTGTCTTCGTCAGTGACATTGTGGAAATTCACTTTTTTCGTATGGCGACCGAAGAGGACCTCAGGAGCATACGAGTATTGTGCGAGTTGATAGAATTAGAGCCGTTATTGACTTTTACGTGGCAGGATATATGATGATTTAAGAGGGTTTAGATTCTCTCTCTCTCTCTCTCTCTCTCTCTCTCTCTCTCTCTCTCTCTCTCTCTCTCTCTCTCTCTCTCTCTCTCTCTCTCTCTCTCTCTTCTCTCCTCTCTCTCTCTCACACACACACACACACCACACACACACACACACACACACACACACACACACACACACACACACACACACACACACACACACATATATATATATATATATATATATATATATATATATATATATATATACATATACATATATAATACATATATATACATATACTATATATATATATATATATATATATATGCGTACATACATACATACATACACACACACACACATATAATACATATATATATATATATATATATATATATATATATATATATATATACATATATATACATATATACACACGCGCTTGCAGCACATTGTTTACCTATGTATCCCTGTTGCTCCTGGCGGCATTGTACCCTTAATGGTCCAAGCGGCCGTGATGGGTTGTTTACCTGTTGCAGGGATTCAGTGCAGGTGACATGAGCTTAATTGGTGCTGTTTACCGGGTCACCGTGCGTGAGGGGGTTTGCCAGGTTTGATATTTTTACCTTGTTTTGATTTTGTGCTTTAGAATTAGGAGGTGGGGGGGGGGGGACATGGGATGAAGAGATGAATGGGTCTTTCAGAGCTTTAGTTGGACTTGTGGGACTCCTAATTTATTCTTGTTTCACGTGCTGATCCTCTGCATATTTTGTATTATATTTAGCATTGTGTTAGTCATGTTATTTCCATCCGAGATTATTGATATTGTGTTAGTAATGTGCATTGCGGTTGTTCTTGTTATTTCCATCCATTTTGTATAAAACGTTAGTGATTTACAGTGAGTTTTTTTTTTTCTTAATTTATTTCATAATTTTTTTCTTCTCCACTACAGGCTGGTCGACGCCCGATGTGTTGTGAATCCCAGTGCAGGAGATCTCACGAATCCGCCCAAGAAATTCAGAGGTGAGTAATCTACGTCTTGTATCTTTTATATTATATTCATGATGAGTGGTAAGTCATCTCCGATTTTGCTATCCCTTCTTTCTGAATGGGCTTATATCTGTATTTTTAAAAATTTTATTCCTCTCTTCATCATAAAATCTATCTCCTCCAATCTGCTTGTGTCTGTACATGATTTTCCTTTTCCCAGTCCGAGCTTGCTGAATTACAATGTATTTCCATTAGTAAATTTGAAATTGAATTACGGCCCTTGAGGGTCCGCCACAAAACTAGAATGTAAACATTTTGTTCAATTCCCAGTTGGCCATAAACCTAACTATAACTGCTGTATTGTAAAGATTTTTCTATTATTCTTAAATAGATGCGCCATATTGATGGAGGAAGTAATGGGTATTTGGTTAACAGTCTAGTAATTTACTTTCCCTCTCATTTTCTTTCTTTCTAATGCGCTTCTTCTTTCTCTCTTTCTTTCCTTCTCCCCCCCCCCTCCCCCCCCCCCGCCTCTCTCTCTCTCTCTCTCTCTCTCTCTCTCTCTTCTCTCTCTCTCTCTCCTCTCTCTCTCTCTCTCTCTCTCTCTCTCTCTCTCCTCTCTCTCTCTCTCTCTCCTCTCCTTCTCTCTCTCTCTCTTCTCTCTCTCTCTCTCTCTCTCTCTCTCTCTTCTCTCTCTCTCTCTCTCTCTCTCTCTCTCTCTCTCTCCTCTCTCTCTCTCTCTTCTGTCCTCTCTCTCTCTGTCCCTCTCTCTCTCCCTCTCTCTCTCTGTCCTCTCTCTCTCCTCTCTCTCTCTTCTCTCTCTCTCTGTCCCCTCTCTCTCTCTGTCCCTCTCTCTCTCTGTCCTCTCTCTCTCTGTCCTCTCTCTCACTCTCTCTCTCTTTTCTTTCTTTCTTTCTTTCTCTTTCTTCTCTTTCTTTTCTCTCTTCTCTTTCTCTCTCTCCTCTCTCTCTCTCTCTCTCTCTCTCTCTCTCCTCTCTTCTCTCTCTTCTCTCTCTCTCTCTCTCTCCTCTCTCTCACTCCTCACTCTCACTCTCACTCTACTTCTCATCTCACTCTCACTCTCCTCTCTCCTTCTTTCTCTCTCTTTCTCTCTTTCTCTCTCTCTTCTCTCTCTCTCTCTCTCTCTCTCT